ATATGTATATTAAACCTAGTTAGCATGTAACACTGGAATATACATTTTGCATACTTGGTTAATTTTTCTTCCTTGCTGTAAACTCTAAAAGAGAAATTACGAGAAGGTACACATGCACAGAAAACCATGAGGCCTGTTACTGCCAAATTATCTTGTAGAGCCATAGAGGCAGGGAGAGGCACCGGCAGTGCTGCGGGAGCCCTGTTTCCGGGGCTGGCAGCACTGCACCTGAGCATCCTGGTTAGAGCTGCCTAGGTGGTTTCACAGGGTCTCTTCCTCTTGTGTCTGCAGTTCACCCTTTCATTCCGTAGTTCTGGAAATGACAGCTCTCAGAGGACTCCTGGGAGGAAGGCCCTGTAATCAGAAAGAGGGGCCAGGATGATCCTGGCAGGGGTGTCCTGCAGGGATTGCGGATGCTGCTTACTCCCCGGGCCTGCAATATGAGAGCCAGCAAGAGAGGGCTTCTTAGACTAGCTGAGATATCCCAAGAGTCTGCTCAGTGCCAGGAGGAGCTCTGGGATTACTAACTCATCAGTGATATAGAGCAGGTAGGAAATCTCCGTTAATGCAAAGAATATCAGAACAATCGTAGAGGAGAAATGGGGAACCAGTGCGGGCTTATTAAAAGCTACTAGAGAAGATCTGAATGAACGCAAGCCACAAACTTGAAAGCAACTGTCAGTGTGCTTGGAGGAAATGTGCCCATCCCACTACCCAAGCACAAACTGGTGCCCACCAGCAGGGACCCAGGCAGTCAAGGGCAGGAGCAGGGGCCCACCAGCAAAGAAGGAAAATGGAGCTACGAGGAAGGATTTGAAGGAAGCTGGAAGTGTAGAGACCGGGTCCAAAGCCTGTAGGAAGGACTGCAAAAGACAAGATCCCTGCCCAAGTGAAAAGGGGAAAGAAAAGCATGCAAGGGGACCAGGTGGATGCTCTGTGCAATTGAAGAAATGGCCTAATTGTGAGGAGTGAGAATACAGCTGATGCAGCAACCGTTGAGGAAAGCAGCCTGGATCTTCAGGCCAGGAGCTACAGAGTGAAGCAGGGAGTCACTGGGGGAACTGTGGCTGGAGCGTTTCTCCCATTACACTTTGGCATCTGTGCCATCGTTCTGTATAGAGAGCTAGCTCTTGGTTTACAGCACAGTGCAAATTTGTGGGCTTCTGAGGATCCCACCAAAATATGTGTGTCTCTGGCTTATAGTGGGGAATTTGGACAGCCAGGGTTTTTTTCACAAATAATAGGCTTCCCCTGTACCACTTACTTGCCAGATCTGGGGTGGGTGGTGGGGGGTCTTGATAGTCAGGTTTCAGCAACTCTGATGCTTTGTGATCAAGGTTTACTCTAAGGGAGGGAAGCATCAGGGACAGACAGAAGTGTCCCCATGCAAATAAGTTCCTTCAACCTGTCTCCTTAAGTTTCTTTTTCTTTTCCCCCCTTTCCGTCAACACTGGCGATCAAGGCCAGGGCCTCATGCATGCTAGTAGGCAAGCACTGTACCAGTGAGCTAGACTCCCGGCCATTTTCTAAATTTTATTTTTAATATAGGGTCTCACTAAATTACCAGACTGCCCTCAAACTTGTGATGCTCCTTCCTTGGTCTGTTAAATAGCTGAGATTATGGGCATGCACCACTGTGCCTGATGCTTAAACTCCGCTTTGCTTTCTTCCTTTCTTCCCTTCTTCCTTTTTTTCTTTTTTCTTTCTTCCTAAGCCCTATGCTATGCCTATTTGGAAAAAAATCTATACATCTTTTTTTGACTATAAAATTTAACTTCCAGAAGCAAAATGCATTTGAATCTGTATCTCTATAATCATAATTGATTTACTGTCTTTGTCTGTTATATGTACTTAATTAGTAAATGGACAGATAAAAATATTGTTCTCCATCTTTGCTAGTGTATGAAGTATAATTAAAACTCATAAATAACCATGGAATTTTTCTTTAATGATAGCATGTTTAAATGTGTGACATTTTCACAATTTAAAAGCTTCATTACACGTTCTCTTGTACATAGAGCCCATTTTCTGGGAAATCTTCTTGAATAAATTTGCTTATCTTTCATAAGATCTTATTCAATAATAATGATATGCAAAATAACTCCATAATGCTGATTTGTTTTTTTCTTTGCAATTATAGACATATCAAGTGGATTTGAAGCCCAATGGATCAGAAATAATGGTAACAAATGAAAACAAAAGGGAATATATTGAGTACGTATATACATTTTTTATTTTAATCATTTATTTATTTATTTATTTATTTGGTATGGGGTCTTGCTATGCAGCTCAGACTCATAGTGATCCTCCCATCTCAGCCTCCCCAGCACTGGGATTACAGGTGTGCACACCATGCCCAGTTTCAGGGCTGGCATGGCATGCCCTGGTATTCTGGTGCTGGCACGGCATGTGGTACCAGGGATCGAACCCAGGGCCTTGCACTTGCTAGGCAGGTACTTAGGCTGCCGAGCTATATCCCAGCCCCATATACACATATTTGCAACCTTCTTTTTTAATAAATTGAACAACGCATTGGGCTGGTATCCCTGGCCAGCGTAGCTGGTGAGCACCATGCCCAGGACTGCACGGCCAGTTGTCAGCAGTTTGAGTTGTTTGTTAGCCTTGACTAGTTGGAAATGGAATGCGGGCTGCATTGGATCATTACTTCTGTGAGCTGTGGGGAAGCCAGGAAAGGTGTATGTGTGCAGTGTGGCATGGCAGATGCTCTTTTGGAATTGTGGGCATCTCATCGAAAATGTCAATTGTAACAGTGTAACACAGCGTCAGAGATCACTGGGATAGCAGTAAGAACTACCAAACACAGAATATTTTCCCTCCCACTCTTGACTGCTTCTCTCTAGTGAAAATCTAGGAGAAGAGTTAAAACAAGAAGAATTTAGCAGGGGCCTGCCCATTAGCTCAGTTGTTTAAGCGCTTGCTTGAGCAAAGCAGTTAGGCTCAGGATATTGGGGTTCGATCCCCAGATCCTCAAGTCTTACCAGACCTGCCCTTAAGACATCCTGAGCCAGCCCTGCCCCCCCAAAAAAAATCTATCTCAAGAAGAATTTAGAATGGTGCAGATAAAATGAGCTGTTTCTGATGTTGATAATTTTCTTTTTCTTTTTTTTTAATTTTATGTATTGGGTACAGGGTCTCGCTATGCAGCTCAGACTCATAGTCATCCTCCTGTCTCACCCTCTCCAGCACTGGGATTACAGGCATGTGCCACCACACTCAGGGCACACCTGGTGTTCCAGGGCCAGCATGGCATGCGGTACCGGGGATCAAACCCCGGGTCCTTGTGCTTGGCAGGCAGGCTGTTATACCACTGAGCTATACCCCCAGCCCAGTGTTTGCAGTTTTCATAATTCAAGCTCAGCCTCATTTTGTGGAACAAAATGTTGAGTCCTTTTAGAATTCTAGCTCTTAAATAGTCCCAGGATTTTTATACCAGGAAGGAGATCTTGCTTGGGTGCATTATATTTTTACCTTTTACCGACATCTGTGTGATTCAGACACACGATTGGGAGCTCTTCCAAGGATGGCCGTGTTTGTCCTTGCTAGCCTGCCCCAGGTGCAGAGGACAGTGCCGCAGGGGTTGGCGCTGGGTTCCTAGGCTCTGTATATCTTACAGATTATAGCAGTAGCCTGAGCTTGTCTGCTTTCAAGACTCCACTTCAGCGAGCAGTGTTTCCTCCCTATTTTAAATTGGTCAGAGTGCTTGAATTGAGAATTGGCTGAGCATCTCAGCATGTTTTAGTGTGATGTGCAAAGAAGACCTGTCCTTCCTAATTAGGGAGAAACGGAGAGCGCCATATTCTTGGAGCTCCTGACAAGGAGTGCAACAATCATGCAACAGTCCTTTTCCACTCACAAGTCAAAAGCATGTCCGTGCTTAATAAGTTGTCTGGCAGTAAGATAGCACAGCGCTTACCTGTCCATACTAATTGGGGCCCTTGTTAAGACCTTGAATGACTGTAGCAGATGACATCTGGCAGGCAACACTGTCTGCTTGGAAAGCAGAGATGGTAAATAGTTTCTTTAAAAGGCTGCAGCACAGAGTGACAAAGGTCTGAGTCTCAGAATTTGACATGCGCTGTGCATCACTCTTTGCAGTTAATTATTTTAGGGTTCAAATTTGTTGAAGGCCAGGATGAGACAGGGTTTCAGCTAGCTTCACTGAAAAACTGGGATTGAAATCTCCTGGCCCGTGTCCTCTTGGAATTCTGGAAGAGCAGCGGTGGGCCAGCAAGTGCCCCCCAGACCCACAGAGCTGGTCCAGCTGGGCTGGGTGACTTCAGGCTGCTCGGGGGGAGGGGGGGCTGGGGCTGTGGTGCCACCTCCGGCATGAGAGCCCTTTATGAGGACAAAGTACCTCTTCTTTGCTTCTCTGGTGAAGTCCTCGCAGGTTTGTGTCACAGGTGGTTCTGCTCTGCACCAAACAGTCCTAGGGGAAATTGTTTCAGTGAATGTCAGTTTCTTTGAGAGTCTTCCCCATTCATCATCCAAGTTTTGGCATTGATACAGTACTGTACGCAGTGCACTAGGAGCTCTGTACAAATATTTGCATGTAGTTATGTGTGTGGGTGTGGACGTGTGTCTTGTGCACACACACCTGTGCACTTGTACTCATGACTTTTCAAGTATTTTGATTAGCTGAGGCTTGGCGGGGAGACTCAGGATGACATCACAGACACAGAAGTGGCTGCTGAGAGAATTCCGGGGTGCAGTGCAGCAGCCAACCCACTGTTGCAGGGGCTGCTCGCCTCCTCCCTCCCCAGAGAGCAGCAGTTCCTATCGAAGCGTGTGATGAGTCCTGGTAGCCGCAGGGAGCTTACGCATGTTCTCTTCTCTCCCACAGCTTAGTCATCCAGTGGCGGTTTGTGAACAGGGTCCAGAAGCAAATGAATGCCTTCCTGGAGGTAGGTGCTGCCGGTGGGGCCTGTGCTGGGTGTCACTCAGGGAGCTCAGCTCGCAGGCCTCGTTCAGGCTGTGTGCTGGAGCTGACCGCTCCCTGAGCTGCCAGGCTGAGGTGGAACCCACAGGTGAAGCCAGCACCGCCAGCTCACACTGTTGACCCGCTGCAGGACAAGTGTTCAGTGGTGCCCTGTCACTGGGTTTTTTTCTTTGTGTGTTCTCTTTCTTTGCGTCTCATATTTTCTGATTTGTCCTCTTTTTTTTTTTTTGGAATTCAATAGTGGTTGCTGTATTGCATAATGTCTTCAAATTAGCTATTCAGATTATCAGATATCAGCATGTAAAATTTGTAAAGAAAAGAAAAAAATTGTAAGAAATTTAAAAAGACCAAAACAAAAAAAAAAAAAAATGAAGCATCAGCTGCTCCCCTCTGCAGACCGGCAGAAATGAGCAATACTCTAATTTGTCTTACCTGTGTTAAATGGGGCCTTCTTACACACTGGATCCAGAGCTGTCAGCGCAGTTTCGGGTGATAGCCAGAGAAGGCCGGCTGCTGCTACGATGCCAGGGACTGAGGCCAGCCCCATTCGGCCATCCCACCAGGGGCACTGCCCTCCTCAGTGACTGTGCCTTTTCTTCATGGCTGTCTTAAGAGTCCCCACAGATTTTCTCCTGTACAACTGCAGGCAAGGCACATTTTTGTCCTCAGGGCTTTGGTATTATACCCAGCCACCACACCAGCTTCCGCCCTGGGAAGGAGGAGATGAGGGCTCCTACTGGGGGCTCTCCAGGCGCCTTCCAGCCCTGGTGCCTCGCCCAGGGCGAGGAGCGTCATTTTAAAAGGTGTTTCACATTGACCATAAATGAAATCCTTTTAAGTCTGATAATAAGTTAGCAGTTTAAAAGATAACAGGAAAATGGCCCAGGTCCACACTATTAATTTCTAGTAAACTTGACGCACAGCTGCTGTTTGGCAACCCTCTTGAGCTCGCCCCTGGCTCAGTTGTGTGTGCAGGATGAAGGAAGCATTCCAAGTAGAATGCTCAAGACACTCTGGGTCCTGGAAGGCTTGATGGGACAAGGGCACTTTCCTGCTTGGTTTGGATAAGAACCCCAGAGAGCAGACTCCTCAGCCCTGGCAGCACTCACTCTGGGGTTCTGGCTCCACCCAGGCCTGGGAGTCTCCCTGCAGACCACTTGACAGGCCAGTTGGCAGCCAAGGAGCTGCAGCTGGGCTTGCCATGCTCCGGTCTCCCCTGTGCTAACGACATCACACCTCCTCCTTTTGTGCCTCATCCAGGCCTTCACTGCGTTATTTTTAAACGTGTCTCTTGCACATCTGTGGTCTGTGCATTTTTAGGGCCCAGTGACTCACAATCGTGTGTCATAAATGATTTTTTGTGAAACCTGCCCACAAGATTCACACTGTCACAGGGTCTCCAATATTACTCATGCTCCTGAACCTTCTAGATTTTATGATTTTTCAAAACTTTCGAGTTTGAGTGTAGGTTTAACTGGGATTACCACTATTTGATACTATGAATGATATATAAATCATCAATAAGTGTATATTATACCTGACAAACAAAAAAAAAATTATTGCTATGTAAATTTATTTTTTCAAGGCAAAAAAATGTTTAAAGTGATTTTTTTTTTGTCCTTTCAGGGATTCACAGAACTGCTTCCTATTGATTTGATTAAAATTTTTGATGAAAATGAGCTGGAGGTTGGTATCATAAACATTTTATGTAAAGTAGATTTTTAAAAAGAATCTCTTACTACTCTGCAAATGATATTTTGACATAATGTCCTACTGAGTAAGTTTAGATGAATTCTGTGTTTTATTTGGGATCTATTTTCTGACTTGGAAATAAAGAATAGCAAAACCAGTCACCCCAAGATTCCCTGTACATTCAGTGTCAGTTGAGCCTGCCCGCCGAGCCATGCTGGCTTCATGGCCTGCGCATCAGTCTAAGAAAGCGGCTGCATCTGCTGGGCTTAGGTTGTTTGCAGGAGCAGGAAGCCCAGAGACCTGCCACACCCAGGGGACTGACCACTGAGGCACATGGCTAGAGGTGATTGTCCACATCTGCTGGAGGCTGTGGAGCAGAGATCTTGTTAGACCTGAAGCAGTTTATGTTGACTGAGGAAGAGATCAGAAGGCCACAAGGCAGCAGCCGAAGGGGGCACCTCAGTTCCTTGTATGGATGTAGATGAAAAACTAGCATGAAGACTAAAGGAACACTCTTTGTTGTCTCAAGAAAATGGAAAAAGGAAGGTGCCTATGTCTGTTGACAAGCTGGTGGCAGTACTTGGCCGTTCATCCAAGCCACATGCAGTAGACCATTTCTCGTAGACTAGGATGCTGTCCTTTGATTATCAGGAGGAACTGTGAGATAGAGGCTGTCTAGGAAGCAGGCACTGTTGCGGCTGGAGGCAGTGAGGCCTACAAAGCCTGCTCTCAGGCCTCAGATGTAGTTCTTCTGTCTTATTTCATTCCCTGTGTGGGGATAGCATACTTGCGTGTCCTCAGGAAACCTCTACTGGACAGCTACGTAATAAGAAAAGCAAAGCTTAGACTAAGCAATTCAAGAAGACCATGGCTATGTTAGTACATGTCTATGGTCCACAGTCCTGGAAGAATGAACTGTTGTCCCCTGAACCGACCATCTAGGGGAAATGAGTTCTTGCTGTCATAAATAGTGATTTTCTTGCAAGTAGAGAAAGTCTCTGATATTTAAATAAAAGATGTCTCAGGGGAAACAAAGGGTATTGTGCACATTCTAACAGTGCAAAGACATCCATAAGCACTGCTCCTAAGATTGGGGGCCAGGAAGATGGCTGATCCCTTTTTTTTTTTTTTTTTTTTCTTGGTGGAACTGGGAATTGAACTCAGGCCCTTGCGCTTGCCAGGCAAGTGCTTATTCTACTGAGCTATCTCCCCAGCCCCCGATGGCTGATCCAGAGTCTGTTTCCAGTATGAAGTGTCATGGTCTTGTACAGGGGTTAGAATTAAATCACCGTCACATTTCTGTGATCTGACATGGCAGGAAATATTTGGGACACATGTCCTTGGTCCTTGGTTTTCATGAATTGCTGACTTAACTCCTTTACAGAATGACAAAAAGCGACCTTGAGGGAAGCTAATTTCTCAGCGTGTGGTGTCCCCAGCTTTCACGCCCTAGCTCCTCTATATCTGATAAATTTCCTTCCTAGTTGCTGATGTGCGGCCTTGGTGATGTGGATGTGAACGACTGGAGACAGCATTCTATTTACAAGAATGGCTACTGCCCGAATCACCCTGTCATTCAGTGGTTCTGGAAGGTAACTCCAGTGCCTGCAGCCCAGCCTGGCTCCAGGCTCCTCCCGAGTCAGGGCCAGGGCTCTGCTCTGCTTTCCTGTACCTCTCTTTAGAGCTGATGCTGCTCCCAGGGCCTGTGGGAGAGGGAGGAGCCGCGGCAGTTTTCTTTCACTGCATTGCCCAGTAAGACTTGAGTAAGCTCAACCCAAACATAAGAGCTTGGTCTGTCCTTGACCACCTGGTTAAAGTGACTTGTATATGCAGAACCCATTGAGAATGAAGATTCTTAAAAAGGAGTTCATGGGCTTCCAGGGTACTGGAACAAGGCCTCCAAAGCTGGAATCCGAGTAGAAGCTTTCTCAGCATATGAACATTCTCCTGGGGCTGGCTTCCCCAAGATACCATATTCTGTAGAGAGAGAAATGTGTCAATTTTTTTAATTTCAGAAGCCATTTGGATTCTTATATCTCTTATCCAAAGTTACAAACAAAATATGATTTGCTGTCTTAGGGCCAGTGTTTGCATCCTGTCCATCTCAGAAGGGGAGGGAAACAAGAGTAGACTAGCCCAGAGAGAGATAGTAAACTCACTGAAACAGCGATTAACTCACCTGCCAAAAACAAGGCTCATTATGTAGTACAAGAAAAGAAATCAGCTCACCTGTTTGAATTTCTAAATGTCTTAGTATGTCAAGTGTCAGGCAACAGACAGAGGGAAATGAAGCAGAATCTTCAAATCCTGATCAGGTCTCTCACTCAGCTTTGATTTTAGGCATTTCTTATAAGCAGCTCAAATATGTTAAGCATGCAGATTGTTTTAGACAGCTCTTTGTGCTACTGTTTTTCCTGCTTCTTATACAACGTTATCTTTAGGGGATTTGCAATCCAAAGTCCTGTCTCCTCACCTGGGCTTCCCTTGCGTAGGCCCTTCTGGATCACTGCAATTGTCATTGGTTTTAGGGGAGCTGGCAAGCATCGAGTACAGAAGCCTGAGCTCAGTGCCATCCCAGAGCGTGCTTTTTATGTCGTTTATTTTGGCCTAAGATCTGACGACCACTCACAAGGATTAGAGAGGCTGGGATTGTGATGGCCATTAATTAAAGAGAGAAGTAGACTCGGTTTCTCGCCTAGTTCTTCTTATGTGATGATACACATCAGGCTAAGTGCTCCTGCCTCCCTTACAGCAGCAATTGCCTTGCATCAGTTGGAGACCTAACGACTTTCTGCCTTTGTTGCCCAGGCCGTGCTGTTGATGGATGCCGAGAAGCGGATCCGGTTACTGCAGTTTGTCACAGGGACTTCCCGCGTACCCATGAATGGATTCGCTGAACTTTATGGTGAGCGGCACACATCACACTCTGCTGTCCACCAGTGAGGATCTGGCCAGGTCTCTCCTAAGGCCCAACTGTGCCCTCCTGCCCTAGCCTCTGCAGGGAGCCTCTGCAGCCCAGTGTGCTTGCATTAGGTTCCAGAGTCCTCACATAGACATATAACAGGGGCTCGTGCATGCGGGGATGGGTGGAATTCTGTACAGAAAACCATAAGATTGGTCTTTTTTATTTTCTGTTTCTTCTAGTTTAGTGTTTTATTTTATCTTTAACACTAAGTCTCCCACACTCACCCGTGTGGTCCTTTAAAAGATGCCTGACCTCCAGGAGATGTACTTCTTCAGTGCTCACTGTAGATTAGTGTTTACTGTGTCTGCTCTGTGTTTTAAAATTCTCATTGTATTCCTTTCCCTGGAAATAATTTTAACTCTGTAGAGTCCAGTGGGAGGGCTGCGGCTGCCTGGCTATGGGATTCTGTCTGCTGACACCAGGACAGCTCATCCCCAGGGCAGCCAGAGCCTGTGTGTGAGCTTGTGAGGGAGGACCTTGTGCCTCCCGCTGTGCAGTACTGCACCACAGCAAAAGCCAGCGAGTTGGGACTCACAGGGCAGGCACTGCCCCCGCAGTGGGCACTGTTCTACTCCTCCCCTTTTCTTTAAGTCTTACTATGGCTTTGTCCTGCCACCTGAAGCCTTACTGACCCGTCTTTTTCTTTTCTGTCCAGGTTCCAATGGTCCTCAGCTGTTTACAATAGAGCAGTGGGGCAGCCCTGAGAAGCTGCCCAGAGCTCATACATGGTGAGTGACAAAACACTTCGGTGTCAGCACCAGTATCTTAGATGCACAGCCTTATGTGATAGTGGCCTTGATGTAGACAGTGCTACACTTCTGTCCGTAAATAGCTTGGAGTATGAAAAACTGGTGCAGACGAGGACAGGAATTGTACAGTAAATGCTAGCAAAACCTCAGCCCCAGTCCGTGTGGAGCCAGTGTGTTTGCACATGAGCGCTAACACCTCATGCTCTCAGACGCTCCTCCCAGCCCTGCCTCCCCTGATTGCTCCAGCGAACAGAGACTTCACCACATAGCTCTGTGGACATGGCCACTCCCAGCCTCTCAAAAGAGTTAGAATTTTTTTCCCACCTTAAATTGATTCTTTAGAATTTCGAATAAAATTCTCTATAGAAGCGTCTATAAGGATTTTAAAATGCCATCCATGCCTGTGAATAACCCATAGCTCCCTGGAATTTAGTATTAATATGATTATAGCCAGAGGAGTAAGGGGTCTGTGAGTGATGTGTGGCCTGAAACAGCAACATACAGCCACCCTCAAAAGGCCCCTTGCAGCTGCTCATAGAGGAAGGAAGCCTCAGATCTTTCTTGAAGCAGAGGACACCGAGCCCTGAGCAGTCCTGCCTTAGGTTTTTAAAAGCAGTGCTTTGCCAGTCCAAACTCTGCAGCCTTCGTGGGTCTGTTCCTGGTATGTGTGGGAGCAGGCGCTCCTGCCCCGCTCTGAGGAGCACCTGAAGGTGTCTCCTTGGCAGTGTGAGCACTGTGGCCCTGGCTTTCCCACGAGCAAGGGGGGCTCTGGAGTCCTGCGCTGACCATGCTGAGCTGACGCAGGCAGCCTGCAGCCACATGCTACAAGAAACACCCTTGCGACAGAAGGGCAGTGGGGAGAGATTCTCCTGAAAAACACCTTTGTGAGAAACTGGCTCTGAAAGGGTCTCTGCTTCTGTGTGATTCCGTTGCCTCCCCAGCAAGAAACGGTTTTTTTCCCATTCCTGCCTTTCACATGACTGAATGGAATGAATGTGGCTGTTTTCTGTTTAGCCTTTAAGAGCCAGAAATGGGTGAATATCCAGAACAGCCATTGCCCATGTTACCTGCTTTTATTGGACAGAGAATATTAGGTCATTTGGAGCTTTTATTTCAACCAATAGCTGAATCCAGTGTGGCCTTCTGAGCTGAGATTGCCTCAGTTTGAAAGACAGCAGCAAAGAACAAGCGCAGGGTGTTGGGTGTCAGTGCAGAGTCCCCGGACTGTGGCACAGAGCTGGGGAGAGTTCGTGGGAGATCCTGAGTGGGTTGCACCAGTTGTCGTCTGCAGGCTGGCCCTGCTTCATCTTATGGAACACCGTGATCGTGCCCTAGACTGAGAATGCTCACCCAGGAGCACAAAGTTCACAGATTCCCAAATCGGGGGATTTGAACTCTGCCAAACCAAGCACCTCATCCTACACTGCCCTCTCTGTGCTTTTTAAATAGAACTAGTCTGGTTCAGCCCTGTGACCCAGTGAGCAGGTATCTTACTGTTGAACTTTGCTTCAGTTTTGGAACCCACATGCTTCACCATGACTAGGACATGGTGCTGCCCAGAGGAATCCTGAAATCAGTAGTTCTTGATCGTGACTCTCCGTAGAGAGCTTTTAAAAACCCTCATGCCAGAGTCCTGCTGCCCAGAGATGTGGACTTAGTTGGTGTGGCCTCAGCAGTGGGATTTTCAAAAGGAAGAATGCTTTGAAAGATTTTTAAAAGTAGACCAAGGTGTGCTGGGCGTAGTGGCACATGCCTGTAATCCCAGCATGCAGAAGGCTGAGGCAGGAGGATCACTGCAAGTCCAAAGCCAGCCTGGGCTACAAAGTAAGTGGAAAGCCAGCCTGAACTACATAGCGAAACCTTGTCTCAATAAAACAACAAAAGTAGACCTGGGAAGGGTAAAAGATGCAAGCGGACTCTTCCCAAAGCTTGTTTTCCTGTCTCTGTGTCACAGAACTAGAGTAAGCAGCTCTTCCTAATGGTGCTCCCTCAGACTGAGCTGCCATCCCTGAGGGAATGGGACACAAGTGCCCTGACCCTCATGAGCAAGGCTGCTGTTCTTCTCTGTGGCTCGTCTCATAGCCAGGCCCAGCCATACTGTGATACAGAAGTGGGAGCTTGATGGCCACTTCTCCTTAACCGTTCCACATGCCCCTCAGCCATGAGATGGTCAGTTTCCTCTGTGTTCTACGAGAATGCAAAATGCACAGTTCAACTTCAGACTAAGAATTTGTTTGGTAGAAGTGCAAAAGCCAAAGACCTAACTTCAAGGTCTTCAGATGTTACCAATGGGTGTGTGATTACTTGTAAGCTTCAGTTCACTGTTCTGGAAAAGTCAGTACCAATGTACTCTCACTAGGAGTCCCAGACCACTTGCTGTACTAGTAATTGCATCTCACAGACCTTTCACCTGAGAGGACCAGAGCCCACTGAAGACAGTGGGCTGCTCAGGGTCATCATGTTTGCCAAGAGTGAACCAAAGCCAGTTCCCTCAGAAGTACGTGACAAGCACCTCCCAAGCACCTGCTCCATTCCAGACATTGCTCAGGTATTGACGTGACTGACTCACATAACCGTCACAGTTCTGAGAGTTAGGTTATCTGATGGCTCCATTCCTAAAGATAAGAAAAGTGAGGCCCAGCTCCTCCTTAACACAATGCAGACCTCAGACCTTCACTCACCCCATTCACCCTTTCTCCAGTGCACCATTGCCTTTTAAGCTTGCATCCCCTGCAGGCCTCTTTCTAAAGGGTCTTTAGGCCCTGCAGAAGTTGCAGGCCCTCCACTGTGAGCCTCTGACGTAGAAGGCAGAAGCCCCCTTCTCTAAAAAGTCAGTGGGTGCAATTTTGTTCTTAGATCATTATGAATATTAAAAAAAACAGAAAATTTAGCATTTCTTTTATGACTCAGAATTACAGTTCTAGGATCTTGAGAACTACTATTTGAGAAGAACATCCTGGCTGTTATGGTCACTGGCTCACAGGAAATCTGCATGGAGCTCAGAGGGACTTGTTACACATTGTAGGGGTTGTCACCATCCCAGCACGGTGGTGTGGTTTGTTTTCTTACTGCTGCTGCTGATAAATGGTCAGCTTTTAAAACACAAGCTATTGTTCTGCTCATACCTGGGGTCTCCTGTCAACCCCTGGAAGGGGGACTGTTTCAAACCTAAATGGTGTGGGTGAAGCAAATGGCTGAGGCCACTCAGCCACCCTCCCTTAAATGACCGTGAGCTGAGGCAATTGTCTGTGGTCAGTCAGCAGCGCCCCCTCAAACACTGCCCATAGACTTTCAGTGAGTGCTGAGTGAATGACACCACTGATGCCCATGCTTTGAGCACTTGCTCCATGTCAGGCCCACTTTATAGATCTTCTGACCTTCCGATACTCTCATTGCTCAGCAACCCTGTGAGCAATCTCCCCATCTTCACAGATGAGCCAGCCTTGGGTGAGTTGGCCAGGGCTACACAGCTGGCAAGTGGCAGAACGAGCACAGGACCTTGGCTTGACTGCCTGCCAAGGCTGCCCATTTGTGCCCAGTCCCCACCCTCCTCTGTGTGGCTTTAGACCCTGACCACCGCCAACCCCATCTGAAGCCACCAGAGATACCAGAGCTTTGCATGAGTGTGGCTCCTTGCTCCCGATGGCGCTGGCTTGCCGGACTCTGCTCAGTGGAAGTGGCTTGGCCCTGACGTTCTGGAAGTCCAGGCAGCTGGGGGGGCCGCAGTATTCCTAGGAGTGGGATTCCTGGCACCTTGCCTTTGCCTCTGATTCAGGATCTATATGTTGCGAGGGCGGTAACCTGAACCTACTTCGTAGGCTGGGGATAAAAGTGAGGTGCACTGGGAGAAGAGCTTGTGGCTCCGGCTGGTAAACAGTGAGTGCCAGCATGGAAACAGGCACATCTCAAGTTCTGCCCACTGCCTTAGCATTGTGCTTCGGGACTTGGAATCTCCGTGCGGGTACATGTCATTGCCCTACCCCGGCATGTCTCCTTCCTACCAGGCTCCTTCTAAAATCCACATCTGGGGGTAGCAGAAGTTTCAGGGACTGTGAGAAAGTTGTTTTTCTCTCCTCTTTAGGAGATGTACCCTATTTGGCACAGTTTCACAGTTAGAGTTGATCTCCTGGCACACAGAATTGTGACTAAGGTTTTCATTCCTTGTTCAAATGCCAAATACCAAGGGCCAGCCAGATGGCTCAGCAGATTAAAGCAGACAAAAGCAAACACAGAGGCCCAGGGTTTAATCCCCCAGGCCTGCTGTGCTGGCCCCACCCCAGGGCACGCTGAGACAGTGATTGAGGCCGGGTGTGGTGGCATGCACTTGTAATCCCAGCGCTTGGGAGGCTGAAAACAGGAGGATCACTATGAGTCAGATCTGTGTAGTGAGACCCTGTAGACTAAATACATAAATAAAGATTAAGTTCAAGTACCAAATGCCCCATTTTCCACACCTAGCAAGTGCCGTGTGTCTGCAGGGCCCAAGTGGCACCCTTTGACCTACTCCCTTGTGTTCCTTTGGCAGCTTTAATCGCCTTGACTTACCTCCATATGAAACCTTTGACGATTTACGAGAGAAACTTCTCATGGCTGTGGAAAATGCTCAAGGATTTGAAGGGGTCGATTAAGGCCCTTTTCCTCGGGGCCCCTGACCATCCAGTGAGTTCCACGTGCTCTTTTGCACCTGCCTGAGAGACTTTTGCAGAGCCGGTGGCGGACACAGCTGCACAGTGTGGCTCCCGGAGCCCGGCCTCCGCCCCGCCGCACCCACCTCCAGACTTGGGAACCTGGCCCCGGCTGAACTCCCACTCCTCACCACGAATTCTCAACTGGTTGATGTGTACACTAATTACATTTCAGAAAGACTTGTTCTATTTATGTTGTGCCTCTGCAGGCAAAGCCCTTAATAAATATTTTGCATACTTTCTAATGACAGTGAATGGAATTAATCACTCTACAGGTATAGTATTACAATTCATGTTTACTTTTTAAAATGATTTAGACTGATTTTCAGATTTTATTTCATTACAATTAAAGATGTCTCATGCACTTGGTAAAGTGAGCATATTTTTTTGGTATTTGGATTTCATACCAGGCTTAATGTCAATGACATTTTTATTTTTGGAGTACTTTGACACACTGCCCCTTTGCTTTTGTTAGAATTAGAACTTAATTTCTGTCCAAAAAACCTTCTACAGACAAGAACTTGGAGAAAATTTCAAATATAACATTAGCTATAATGATCATTTTTTTTCCATACTCAGAATGAAAATAAACTGGATATTCCTTTTTTTGTACAAATCTAGATAATAGCTACAGGCTGAGAGAATTGTAACATAGCATGACATACTTGTGTTACCTTGAAAGGAATCACACCATTATTCCTTAGAAGTAATTACGTGTGCTATAACACATTTGAGACAGGGTTAGACGATCGTTTCTCATGAGAGAAATTATTAACCCTTCCTGTTGCTGTACAGCCACCCCTTTATTCTGTTTCCCCTTTTGCTGTTTGTAGTAAAGACATTTTGAATGAAACTTGGCACTGCTTGACTCAGAACTATGGAAGCCAGACCCCTTCAGTCTTTTTGTGGGTTCGCTAATCGTAGCTAAATAACCAGTTTTTGCTCTAACCGCACCAGTTCTGAAGGCACTTTACGCACCACGTGGAGGTCAGACCTGGTTTTGTTTTTGTTTGTTTTTTTTTATATCATAAACATTAAATGTGATGATTATTTTCTTTCCCTGCACACATCTTTTGGTGCAATATCTATCAGTTGTGAATCTGGCTGCTGGTGTATAAAATCCTGAATGTAAAGCTGAGCCTATAGACCTGTCCTTTCCAATTGTTTTGTGATTTCTACTCAACTACAAGGATTTATTTAATATACACTTAATCTAACCAACTTCTGTTACCTATGACCTGTTGCATGCTTCAATACCGTGTACTGCCTGAGTCGTGTCTCTTGTATGCTAGATTAAAAGTGAGAAAGAAGACTTGACTTGATCCCCTGAGGTCATGCTGTGGTGGTGAGGACGGAGGGTCTCTGTGCAGTTTGATTCTTTCCCACCCGTGAGTCTCTGTTGCAGAATTCTGTCATGTTCTGAGAAGATGCCTGAGACAGTGTGGGAGCTCAGCAGCCCTGCTGTCCTGTTTCACTTGTGTTGTCCTAGACCCTGTTGTGCTAGGTTAGGAGACACTAGAGAGTGAGTCTCCTGCCAGTCATAGATAAAACAAAAATTTGTGGTTTCAGAGTCTCTGTTGTGTAAGAAAAACTTTGATGTAAGAAGTCAGTTGTATTTGTGCAGTTCTGGGTGGCATGTGAGAAACTGTGGACACTTGTGGTGGTAAGCAAGTTGTCTGAGGGAGTCCAGAAGGTTCTGAAAGAAGGTGACATCCCACAGCGCTGAGTACTGAATCCCTTTTCATACTAGTTTAAGGGTACTTATCTGTGATCAGAAAGTGTGAATGTTAATTATTTTTAAAATGTTCATTATTGTGGGGTTTAGGGTGGGTGTTTTTTTTTTGGTTTTTTTTTTTTTTTTTTTTTTTTTTTTTTTTTTTTTTTCCCCCCTACAATTAGCAAATGTCTCAGTGGCAAAAAAATTTTTTTTTTTTTTTTTTTTTTTTTTTTGGTAGCATTCGTAGTCCAAAGTCAGTTATCTTTTAAATAAAATCATGCTGAGAAATAAATTGAGAAGTATGCTTTGATGGTTTTTGAGAAAGCCCGTGTAATTAGAGGAGGAAAATCTGATGCTTATGTAATAACTGAGATTTTTCTGTCATTTTATAAATTGTATGTTAAAAAATCAGAATGTTCTCTAAATGCAGATCAGACTGAGTGTTGAAAATACAGAAAGAAAAACTACTCGAATCATTTCTAAGTCAGGACCATGTAAGAATCGTCAATATATGAATACTTAAAAGGGAGTAATTGTGAGTGACAGTTCAGTTCATCTAGCTCTGCATCTACCCTCTGAGTTTAATGACAACTAAATATTGCTGAATTGAGGGCTTAGTTTTCTGTTAAAAAAAAAAAGTGAACAGTTCGCTAGTCCTCCGCTATTTCCAGGTTCATTCTTTGCCTACAACGGTTCTATGTCCTCTTGTCTGTACATTTTAGTACCACTGCTGGTGATGTTCCAGAGATAACTGCAGGCGGTGAGAGAGAGCATGTCCTGCTCGAGGAACAGGTTGCTGGGCTGTAGCTGGTTGCCCCCCTCCACTCTGTCAGACTCTGTCCTCCTTGTCCCAGCAGCCAGGCTGCTCAGCATGCCACGGCCTCTGCATGTTACCCCTAAACCAGAGAGATCCCTGGAATCCCATTTCTCTGGTGCCCTGCAGAAGCTGTACGTGTCACAGGCCATGCACAGCTGAGCGAGAGCCAGCATGCACCCTGTGTATGGAAGCTCCTGGAGGTTCACGTGGCTACAGTAGACTCTGGGGTGTTTCTGTTCTTGCCCCCATTGGTCTGGGGGTAAATTGGGAAGGTCTCCCCAGCAGGCTTAGCTCACGGAGTGCTGGTGTATGCGGCTTTCCTTGCGCCCTTGTTCACCCGATGCACTTCCTTTCCCGTCACCAGTCTTCTAAAAATTAAGAATGGGAGCTAATTTGTTTCTAAGGCCCCTTCGTAGGTGACATCAGATAGATCCTAAATTCATATGGTAAATGATATAAAGCAACTTGACATGGATTATTGCTCCTACTTCGGGACCCAGTGGCACATTCTGAGAAAAAACTTGCAATATGTTTGAGCCACGTTCTCCACCTCACCTTGTTGCATAGACAGCATGCCCTGTGCTATTGCTCTCTGGCCTTGCCAGATCCCAGTTGGCTCTGTCAAAAATCAATTTCATATGCAGTAACTTTCTAATTGTGGTAACGGTTACCAGGTGTTTTGTTTTGTTTTGTTTTGTTTTGCCAGCTAGTTGACTCCTGTATTTTCCTGAGATTTTAAAGTCTACACAGAGAGCCAGAGGCCATCGGCTCTCCAGCCCCTCACCACTGTTTCTGTCCTGTCCTTTCAACCTGTCTCTTCACCCTGTGGCCAGGAGAGCAAGGGAGATGCTGTCTGGTGTCATTTTCTGCCTTGCCAGTAAGGATGCTCCCGACTCCTCGCACTACCTCTGTCTTGTTCAGGCATTGGGGTACGTCCTAAGTCATGTCAAAACTGCCAATTTCAGGACTAAGATGTGTTAAAAGACAAAACCTTATAGACTCCATTTTGTAGTCTAGATTTTAAAACTGGGAAGAAAATGTGATACACTTCGGACCACTTTTTTAATTTATATAAGCCTTAATGAATAGTATGTATCCATCTACATACGCACACTCCACTCCACTTTCAATGTGTCAGAAAAAATGCCATAGTATTAGGACATGAGCCTGTGTTAATGTTTTCTAGGAAAGGAATAGCTTTCTGTTGGTTTGCAATTTTCCAAGGAAACCTCTCGTTTGACATCTGTCCTTTGTCAAAAATGTACCACTCAAAGCAATGCATGTTTAAAGCGCATGTCTGTTACTTTTGTTTTTAAGGAGTAACACCTTAAAAAGGATCTAAGGATCTAAGGACATCACTGTTGGTGTCCACCCTTTAGTGTACTGCACTTGCCACCATGTCTCAGTACACTGAAAGGCTTTTAGATGACCAGGACTTGCGTTAACAGATGTCCGTGTTCCTTCGTAAGCCCATCCCTTGTACTCAGACTAATTTCACCTAGATTGTCACAGTTTCCTTCATGTAAACTTGGTGTGACTTTGTTCTTCAGTTTACTACTGTCTTTGTAACATATATACATGCATATGCTGTCCAGATATGTATCTATGTATTTGTATAGCATTTTTACACCTCTGTGAGTAATCTGGTTTCAAAAGGGAGTGAGAGCTTTGTCTCTTCTACAGTTTTCTCCAAGCTGTGTCCTGAGGATTCTCACCCTCAGAGCCTGAGAGAACCCTAGGAAGATGTTCATTTGTTGTCATCTTTTAATTCAGGACCTATTACCAAATTAAACATGAACAAAACAGTGACTTTTAAGGTGAAAAGAGTTTCAAGCATTCCAAATAAATTCTCAATGTTTCATAACTTTTTATTGTAAACCCACCTCCTAATACAAAGCCAAGTACTATTTGATACAATGATCAAAACCAAACTACCTTGATGTTTTTTTTTAAAGACAACTTATGGATAATGCTCATTTTCACAATCAGAATAGCTTTAAAATACGGTTGAATTTGATACACACAGGAAAAGTTGTGTTTATGAACAAGTCCTTTTTTGCTTTTCTTCTTGAAAGCTCTACAGAAAAATTGTAGTTTGTTTTTCTGACAGCAAAAGAGTAATGTGACAAAATGAAGTCATTGTAAAGAAGTAATGCAACTTGTCAAATATTTAATAAAGAATTATGGAAGCTGGAACATTTTCTACATCAAGTATTATGCGTTGTCTGATTTAAAGCTTCTTTCTTTTCATTGTCTTGTGTCAAAAACTTAAATGCCTACAGATTTATAAAGTGGTCATTTCCTTAATGTCAGCTGAAAGTTCCATGCCCTTACAAATAGCCTGTCCTAAGATACATGGGTTAAGCATAATAAGAGGTTACATGTTGGTTCTGATCCATCTATTGCTTTTTCTTTTTATTAAGTATGACAGTTACTGGTTTTGTGCAATACTAGATAATCCATATTGTCCATTCCTGAAAAGGCAGATATTCCCTCCAGTTCTTATCCAGCCAGCTCTGAACTTGTGGTTGAGTTAATGGGACTCAATAATGAACCCATAGTGTCTCTCAAAATGATGTTCAAAATCTCAACCTTATATCAACTCCCTGTTAAAACCTGGGGACACATTTTCCCATGCTATGTCATTCTGGTCGGATGGGCTTCTGATAAGTTTGCCCTTTTTCATTTGCACTGAGGAAGCCTCTTTCGATATCCTTAGTCCATCCTTCAGCAGCTGCCAGCCAATAATGTCCCTGTAGGACACAGTGTTTTCAGTACTTTTTTCTCATGGCCTTCTTTTGGAGTAGCTAATGAACTTGCCAAAAGCTGTGAACAGCACCTAGTGCTCCTGCCATCTTACCCAGACTCACAAGGACATAACAGGAGAAGGCCAGACAGATAGAGTCACTCTTGAAGTCCTGCTTAATGAAAAATATAAATGCTGGGGTTTTGTTTGTTTGTTTTTATGTATCTGGTACAGGGTCTCACTGTGCAGCTCAGACTCCTAGTGATTGCCCTGTTTCAGCCTCCCCCATGCTGGGATTACAGGCATGCACCACCACACCAGGTCTTGGTGGCCAGCTCAGCAGGGCCGGCATGACACGTGGTGCCAGGG